CATACTTAACCACGCCCCACAACAGCTATTGACAACAAACAGAAATGGTGAGCAGAAGGAGGTGTCTGTTAGGTTGTGATAAAACCCCCCCAAAAAACCCTTTCCTCATCTTTCTTAATGAAAAGCCTGCTTTATTACATCCAATCAGCTCGTGGTAGAAAAAAATCAAGCCACACCCAATTTTTCCTCATTTAATATTCAGTTTCACTAGGAACTGCATCACAATATTCATTAATTTTTTTGTCGGCTTAGTCCCTTTATTAATCCGGGGTCGCCACAGCGGAATGAACCGCCAACTTATCCAGCGAGTTTTTACGCAGTATGTATTATTGTATTATTGATAATAGTTGCTATAATAATTTTATTATTATAATTTTATTATTATTATTATTATTATTATTTACTATTATTATAACACATTTATTTTTAAAGAGTTTATTTATTCTTTATTATTATTCATCACTGATTTTTCAGCTTCATTTTGTTCAGCATTATTTCTCCAGTCTTCAGACAGTTGTAGCTTCTCCTTGCCAATGACCTGACATGCCGTAATTGAATATGACGTCCAAAAAGCGAGACGCTTTAAAAATCTCCCCAATACCTGCAGTGAGAGAAGAATAACATGATCTAACAGTAAATGTGACTCTACAGGAGTGGAATGCATTCATTCGGGGTTGGCACTGGGCTGGCATGAGCTGGCATGGCTGGTGTATTTGCTTTTGGAGTCAAGTGGCATTGGATAGCAGTGATGCAGCGGAGACCGCACACAAACACTGCTGTCAACAAGAGACTCGCTGGCAACCCACGAGCCAACTTGCGGTCAAAATAACCTCAGTGTAATAAATAAATAAAGTATTAGAAAAGAACTGAGCGCGATCCAAAAAATAATGATATAAAAATGGTTATAGCTGAAAATGAGATCATTCCCTTAGATGAATTTCATATTTCTAAAATATATATAAATATATGCCAGATAGAGTTGAGTTCTGTTAGGGGTATCGAGATTATGATGATGAGGCATAAATTGGATAAAAATAAGCATCAGTCATTAAACCTAAATTAATATACTTGATTCCAACACAAATAAAATTAAATCTGATTCCAATAAAAAGTGTATAATAATCGAGCTGTCAAAATCAACATTCTACATCACTGGTCTCGTTTATGTATTTTCTCATAGTGTAAAAAGAAAATTCTAAATACATCAACATGCACAATTGTAAATTAAAAAATAAATAAATAAATAATAATAATAATAATAATAATAAAATAAAAAAATAAAAATAAATACATAAATAAATAAATAAAATAAAATACATCCCTTTTGTTCCACTTATCCGGGATAAAAAGTACAGTGAAAGTCCTAATAAAAAATATTAAAAATAAAATAAAATAAAATAAAATAAAATAAAATTAAATTAAATTAAATTAAATATATATATATTTATGTTTTGCTTTGTTTTACTTTGTTAAATGAAATAAAAAATACAAATAAAATAAAAACAACAAAATAAAATAATATAACAAAAATAACAACAATAACAAAAAATTAATAACAACAAAATAAAATAAAATAATAAAAATAACATTAAATAAAACAATAACAACAAAATAACATAAAACAATAACAACAAAATAACATAAAATATAACAACAAAAAACAATAACAACAAAATAAATTAATATAATAACAACAAAATAAAATAAAATTCTAACAACTAAATAAATATAATAAAACAATAACAAAATAAAATAAAATACCAAAAAAAAAAAATAATAATAGAATAAACAAAACAACAATAACAAAATAAAATTAAATAAAATCCATCCATTTTGTTCCACTTATCTGAGCTGAAAAAAATAATAAATGTAATAAATTAAAATATATATATTTCTTGTTTTGTTTGGTTTTGTTTTACTTTATAAAATTAAACAAATTAAAAATAAAATATGTTTTCATAATGGTTATAGTTTATCTAAATGCTAGAAACCATATTTTAAATTACTGTACTGGGATTTTTCCATTTCCATTACTGAGATATTGTTCACTTACAGTTTGAAGCATCAGTTCACAATGATGATGAGATATGATCCTCTTTGTTTTATGACAGTTTGTTAGCTACAATATAAACACATTGGATAAGCTTTTATCTTGGAATCAAACACTTACTAGTTACTTTAGCTTGATGTAGCCCAATGCAATGAACATAACAACACGATCATCTCTAAAAAAATGTCTAGATTTCTCCAACAATACAAACACAAATCCTCCATCCTGTAGAATGACCCTTTAGTTCATGTCAACACTGACCCCCTGAAAAGCCAAAGCACTTCAGTTTGCCCCCATTCACCTCAGGGTTACTGGGTTTTTAAGTCAGAACTGCACGAAGAGCCCTGAACGATGTTTGCACAGCCATGTCTCCTTCAGGTCCCATAGCAGGAAGAGCAGCAGACAATGTTTGGCGACTGTCTGGGCGGAGGCTCATGCAGAGGCCGTGAGCTGGACAAAACCCACTCGCTAAGTCAATGTTTTCAATGAGAGTCCACCGTCAGACCACAATGCGACCCAAGAGAGAGCGTGAAAGAAGCACAGCCAGTATTTCTGACCCCGACAGACCGCATAACGTGAGATTGGAGGTGAATATTTGAGTGGGCTGGTGATTAACAGGCTTTTTTTTTTGGCAGTGTGCGGTTGCTCAATCAAGATCAGTCACGGCTGGACTCAGAGCTACACAGAGACGCTTGTTTTCTATAAAGAGAAAAAAAAGATCTCCTTTTCCGAGTTAAAGATAAACTCTCACTTTCAACATCATGTTCATCGGACTAAAAGAACTGAGGTTGATGAATGAAAAGACTTGTGAATTCCAGAAGTTCTGCAATCAGACACTATTCTGGAGTGTTACAGTAAAAGCAATGCCAAATTTGAAGATAGTTGATCTGAAAATGATAATTAAATGTCAGTTGAATGCCAAAGTAGTTTTTAAGTATAAACCTGTCAAAGTGCATATACTGTATATAAAAAAGAATGTTTTAAAAAAAAAGTATACACCAGTTTAGAAATTCCGGTAACAATAAGCCTTGTTGTTGGTTGTTAAAAAATTAAGCTAAAAAAATATATAAATAAATAAAAAATAATAATAATAACAAATAAATAAAATGAAATGAAATAAAATCAATTTTCTTACACTTAACCAGGCAAATAACAAATAAAAAAATAAATTATATATATATATATATATATATATATATATATATATATATATATATATATATATATATATATATATATATATATATATATATATATATATATATATATATATTTAAATTGTTTTGTTTTGTTTTATAAAATAAAATAAAATGAAACAAAACAATAAAACTAATAAAATAACAACAACAAAATAAAATAATACAATTAAATAAAAACAAAATTTAAATACAAAATTGAAATAAATATTTTTCATTGTTTTGTTCCATTTTACTTAGTAAAATAAAATAAAATAAATAAAATAATAAAATAAAGCAAAACAAAACAAAACACAATATTTATTATTGCTTTGTTTTGTTGAACTTTGTAAAAAAAATAAACAAAACAACAAAATTTAATTAAATTACAAATAAAATAAAATAATAACAACAACAAAATTAAACAAAAACACCAAATCTATTTTTTTTAGCAGATTTTAAAAGCTAATAGATAGATTTTAACAAAACTTGACAACTGAAATAAGACCCTGCATGAGAAAGTCCGACCTCTCTGATTTATATCTGGTGATTGTCTGTGGGTGTCAAAATGAAAGTGCCTAATGACCTTTTCGCTCATTATGTCTTATTGCTTACCATCATAAATTAAAATAACGATAAGACAGCTGAGCGGAACCCTGAAACTCTGACCAATGTGAGAAGAGTTTATTCACACATGACTTGTTTGAATAGTTTTGGTCTGTTTACAAAATTTGCTGTGTGAAAGTGAACCGCACCGACAACAAAAATAAACATTGTAACAATTGTAATCCCTGTTTCAGAACAAAACAATCAATCTTGCATTATGACATGGCTCGTTATCCTGCCATCAGAAGATGTGTACACTTTTCGGCATAAAGGGATGGACATGGTCAGCAACAATACTCAGGTAGGCTGTGGTTTGAAAAAACCCCCCGCTACATTTGGCTATCTATGATCCATAATTAGGCACAGCCATGTCACCCTGCAGCCCAAGACCGGTTACTCACTGAAGCTAAGCAGGGCTGAGCCTGGTCAGTACCTGGATGGGAGACCACTAGGGGACACTAGGTTGCTGTTGGAAGTGGTGTTAGCGAGGCCAGCAGGGGGCGCTCAACCTGTGGTCTGTGTGAGTCCTAATGCCCCAGTGAAAGTGAAGGGGACGCTACACTGTCAGTGGGCGCCGTCTTTCGGATGAGACGTTAAACCGAGGTCCCGACTCTCTGTGGTCATTAAAAATCCCATGGCACTTCTCGTGAAAGAGCAGGGGTGTAACCCCGGTGTCCTGGCCAAAGTCCCTCTATCGGCCCTTAAGATCATGGCCTCCCAATCATTCCCTTCCACTGAATTGGCTCGATCACTGTCTCTCCACTCCACCAACAGCTGGTGTGTGGTGAGCACACTGGCGCTGTTGTCCTGTGGCTCCCGTCGCATCATCCAAGTGGATGCTGCACACTGGCAGTGGTGTGGAGAAACCCTCCTCATGATTGTGAAGCGCTTTGGGTGTATGGCCATACACAATAAATGCGCTATATAAATACACATTACATTACATAATAATAACTCCTGTATAGTAGTCAAACTTTCACACATCTGACACTCGAATTCCCTGTCAAAAAGGTCTAGTGGCTGGGAATAGGCTTTTCTTCCTCCTTACTCTATCAAACATTGTTTGGGAAATATTTCAGAGGAGGACGATTAATTTTCAGTTCACCTGTATGTAGAAAGAGAGATTCTGCAACACCAATGCTTTTTCAACAACACATTGCAGCTCTTACCTGTTGATGTCCTGCAGTGGAGCTCCATCTTTGGTCCAGGAGAGCTTTGGCTTTGGTGATCCCTTACTGGGACACAACAGTGTAAGGCTGTGGGTTGCATTGGTCAGGTAAGCAGTCCTTCCCACATGGATCCTGAGATCCCGCTGGAAGCTCATAACAGATCCGTGATGCTTCTGTCGAACGATTGCTGCTATTTTTGAAACCTCCGTACCAAAAAGTTCAGAAGTGTTTGACGTCCTATCTAAATAATTGTCCACTGTAGTGCTTTCCTCAATAGGAACTTGCCCTTGCCCTGCAGCAGCCAAGTCCTCTAGTAGTTTCCCAATTAGTTGCGACGCCATTTCATCCGTCACATCGCCACTCTCTGCAAGCTGACTGATGTTTTTCACAAGCTCCTCAAATTGTGCAGGTTCAAGAACGAAGGCTCCTGTGTGGCTACTAGTGCTTGAAGCCAAAGCATAGTTTCCCAAAGCAAGAGTATCCCAAAGCATCTCCTTGGGATGTCCATCATCGTCTCTGTAGAATTCGTTTTTTTGCATCCAACTTGATTTCGAAGCCTTGTTTCCATTCGTGAATCCTTCATTGCATTTCGAACTAACAAAACCTCCTTCTTTGTTGAGGTATGGATGAAAGTTCCCCCTTCTTTCCTTTCCCAAACTCGGATGATCCAGGAGCCTGTTATTGTATCCGATCAGCTTCAGGATGAAGGTGTCTGAATCTTGGTTGGCCCAACAGCGGTACACTCCGATATCTTCAGCTTCCAGGTTGTAGATCCTCAAAGCCCCGGATTTGGTGATGCTGAGGCGTTTGGAGCTGGTCAGCTCATCCCCGTCCTTCTCCCAACGGATCTGGGCTTTAGGGAAATGTCGAACGGGACATTTGATAATCACGGTGGTCTTGGGAAGAAGGTAGGCTCGTCCTCCAATGGTGAAACTCAGCCGTTTTTCTGGTCTGTTCTGGATGTAGATGCGTTTCAGACCAATGACCTGAGGGCAGCGCTTTTTGGAGTGCTTGTGCTCTGGGAAAAAAGATGGAAGAAGTTTAGGAGGTTCAAACATAGGAGTAGAGTAATTAATTTAGTTTCGCATGAGGTTATACGGCATATGGTGAAATAATCTTTGAGTTTCAGACTCTTGATTTCAGACTCAATGAAGTCAAATCACACCGAACAAAGTTTCTGTTTTGTTTGTATGTGGGTGTGTTGATTTACGTGTGTTACATGTACGAATGGCATTGGAGGATACACATTTTGTGTTGATCAGCTTGGCCGTTGATGCTGGGTTCGCGCTACCAATCGCTGGTCGGCGTAGCGTTTAAAAGCCGGCCTAAACTGCAATGACGATCACTCGCTCTTACTCTTTTTTTTTTTTTTTTTTTTATTAGAATATGCAAAAATCATACAAATACAAGAAAACGTCAACAAATAACAAATACAAAGCAACGAAACAAAAACAACAACAATATAGTCATGTACTGGTATGTGCGTGAGTGTGTGTGTGTGAGTGTGTGTATGCATGTAAAGGTAACTTGGTGGACAGGTCAGAGTACATACATAAGGAACAATAACAGTCAATAAATGAAGCAAGTGTCACAGATATAGATAAAACATATAGAAAGAAACCAGTCAGAGGTAGGGAGTAACAACAATGCTTATTAATGTATGATAGTAAAAATTAGAGTAAAAAGAAAGAAAGGACAACAGTAATAACTGACAACAATAATAATAAATCACAAGTGCTACACAAACTACTACTACAAAAAGTTACTTATATTACAACTACTACTGCTTCTACTACAGCCACAACCACGACTACTACTACTACAATGTCTACTAATACTGATACTACTACAACGACTACCACTACTGATACTACTATAGCGTTTGCTACAACTAATACAACGTCTACTACTACTACTACTACTACTACTACTACTACTACTATTACCACTACTACTACTACTACTACAATCACTTCTACTACATCTACATCAACAACATCTACTACTGATATTACTACACCAACAACGACTACTACTACTACTGTAACTACCACACCATTACTACTTCTGCTACTACTTACATGAACTACTACTTCAAAAATCTCCGTAACAATTACTCAATAACAATCGATACTATTACACTGTCTACTACTTCAACTACAACTACTACTACTACTACTACTACAACAACTGCAACCTTAATAATGATAATGGTATAAATACTTGTAATAATGATAATGGAAAGATAACAGGACAAGTCAGAACAGTAATAATAATAATAATAATAATGATTTCAAAAAATAAAAGTAATACCATTTATGACAAAAACTCGCTCTTACTCTTACTTTCTTTGACTTTTGTGTGTCTCTGTAAGGACAGTCTCTCTTGCAACAAGGACTAGTCTGGGACATTGGTGGATTTAGCCATGTGCAATATGGGCTTCACTTTCGTCTGCAAAAGTGAGGGCGGCACACTCAATGTTTGCCTAGAGCGCCAGGTAAGCTTGCGACGGCAGTGATCTGAGAGAATGTGGTTTTGTTTGGTTGTGATAAATGCTCCTGTCTAAAATCTATTGAGATTGCAATGTGTTTGTCCGTGAACTCGTCCAGTTATCTGATTTTTGAGTAATATCTCGGAGTGGGTGTAGAAGTGAGCCAGTTGCGCGATAAATATTTACAACACTCAGATTATTTTTTTTTTATTATTCTATTAGGTTCAGGAGAGTGTGCTGTTTTGTGTATGTTTTGATTTTAGTTAGAGTAGTTTAGTTAAGATGTTTGATACGTTGAAGATGTTTCTTTTAGTTTAGTTTAGTTTGTTTAATACAGTTAGTATGTCTTGTTATATTAATTTCTTTGATTTAAGCACCTCTAACTACAACCCATGTTCATTTTGAAAACGTACCCCTATATAGATTTCTGGAGAGTGCAAACTATATCCCAGGAGCTACTTTTTTTGCAGTTTTTGTTTTCGCGAATCCACCAAAGGCTGCAGTGTAGGCTTTTTCAGATCTCAATTTGTTCTCGCGAGTGCCATTCGCACCTGCTGTTCTCGCATAAGGTCACTTTCGACTGACTGATTTACTGACTGACCAACCGGCCAATCCCATACCCATAACCAAATCATAAATGAATAAAGGTTAGTTACACACAAATTACCACCTGTCAATCACTTTTACTGCAGGACTCATGAATAGGCAAAGTGATCTGTGTCGTTAAAATAACATCAACAAAATTGGTTGGTAAAAAAGTGCACAACCAACAGGCACCAACCAACAGTCTCTGAGGTTTTCACTCAAATTACTAAGTAAGCATGAAAGCGAAAGATTGAAGCAGTGTACTGACGCTGTGACACGTTATCTGATAGAAACGTTAGATAGAGACAAGATTAATTAAGTATCACGTTTTACAATTATAGTAGGCGTCATCCAGCGGTACATCCTTGATAAACTGTCCGACGTGCACTGCTCTCTGGGGTTTTGGGCTCAAAGTACCCGCTGACTGCTGGAGTTCAGATGGGGGCATACGCTGCAGCATGACAGTGGGTAAGTGTGTGGTCACGTGATGTGCGTTTTCAGTGGTATATTCTGGATGGAGATCTTTATCAGAAATGCTAGATGAAAGGCCAGTGTGGGCGTGGATAGTTTTCATTCTAAAGTGTCATTTTAAAACTAAGACGTATGAGTGTAAACACAGCCTTAGTGTGTGTTTTTTGTGAGCAGGTTGCTGCTGTGACATGGGCAAGGCGGAGGACTGCGATGCCCTGGCATCGTGATGTCTTGACCCTTCTGCCATCACCAAAAAGCCTTTTATATAAAGAATTAGTTACATTTTAGTAGTTCAGTACTTTCTCCTTCTGTCATTTCATTATCATAACACATAACATTTTGTTTTGCTCTATTTTTATGTTTGTATATTAAAAAAAAACATAAGTTTAATACTTTTTCCCTCTACTGTATCTATTGACTTCCAAAGTACTTTTTTTCCAACCATGGAAATCCATCCAGCTACCAGCATTCTTCAAAATATCTTCTTTTGTGTTCACTCACAAAGGCCACATGAGGGAGAATTCATTTATTCATTCATTCTTTTTTTGGTGTATTCCCTTTAATGTATTCGCCACAGCAGAATGAACCGCCAACTTATCCAGCATATGTTTTACGCAGCGAATGCCCTTCCAGCTGCAACCCATCACTGGGAATTCACACACATACACTATAGACAATTTAGTTTTGACAATTTACCCACATGTTTTTGGACTGTGGAGGGAACCGGAGCACCCAGAGAAAACCCACGCGAACGTGGGGAGAACATGCAAACTCCACACAGAAATGCCAACTGACCCAGCCGAGGCTCGAACCAGTGACCTTCTTGCTATGAGGCGATCGTGCTACCCACTGTGCCACCGTGACACCATGAGAGAGAATATATAAGCCCATTTTCATGTTTGGGTGAACTATCTCTTTAACACAAACTCAGCTAATCTTTAAAAAAAAATTATCAATATATATCTTTCTGCACCACTGAGTTAAGCTACAGGCCTCTCAAAGCAATTCTGGAAGCTTCACATGTTGTGTTATTACATACGACCTTTGAGAGTTCACTGGCTCATGTGTATCATGAGGACAATGATAACATGCTAAGTGATACCTACACAACCCTGTTATTTATTTGAGAAATCTGAGATGAAACTCAAGCAGGATTGTCTGTTGCTGCAGCTCAGAATCATCATGGGGTCCCAAACTCTGTTTATGAAATTTCCCCCCTGTGCTGGTGTCAGAATGTATGGAAAGCATAGTGAGAGCAAGATCAAATAGAGGTCAGTTTAAAGTCAAATCACAATCTGCAAGAATACACGGGGTAATGCACTGTGTCAACTGCAGGTCAGATAGCATGGCATGTCTTACTGTTGCATGGGCTCATGCGGCAGCTCCTGATCAGAGGAGGAAGGGGAAGATCACTGCATGATGTCCTGTCCAGGGTGACCAGCTGACCCGAGGCTGTCTGTCTCCTACACACGGGCTCCCTCCGCTGAACACCTTTACCACACGTCACAGAGCACTGCAAACACGCATGGAAAAAATCAACATGGTCAAGTCCCCATGAAATCAGAACTTACGGTATTGATTTTGATAGCTCACATTGTTAGTTTTGTGCTGAACAATTCATCTGTTCATGTCATTAAGAAAATAATAAATAGTTTGGCCTTCTAATATTTACTTAAAATCTGAAAATGCACTTTCTGTTTATTTTCAGTTAGATTCAACGCAATCGCAAGGTGCAACGCAATTGTTGTTTGCAAGTTTCAGCTCGGCGCAAGAATCATTTTGACGTTTTGCACCATATTGTTTAAACAGCAAATGCATTTGCGCTCATTTGTGCGCCCATAGGCATTCTGGTCTAAAAAAGGAGGCGTGCTAAGGCACCTTGCTGGCACGTTGCTATTTTGAGGAACTAAATACACTGTTTAATAGACTAGCTTAGAGGTGGTCTAAAATCCAGTGCAGAGCGCGCTAGTTGTGCGCCTCGCTTAAACAACTCGCTTTTAGACCATATGGGGCACAGCATGTGTATTTGGATAAAAGAAAAACCTTTGAACATACTTTGTTATTATTGTTCATTTATTCGTTTGCTGTAAATTAGAAGTGAATTTAGAAATAGTTTTGAAACAAATCTTTGCGCTTAATAAACAAAATTGGAGGACTGCATCGATACATCTCTGTAATGACTCAAATCACTTATTAATAAAGTCATATGGAATGGCAAAGAAAGCGTTCTTGCAGGACTCCCAGAGTTCATCAAGATTATTTGGATTCATCTTCAATGCCTCCTCATTCATCTTACCTCAGACATGCTCAATAATGATAATTATCTGGGGACTAGGCTGGCCAATCCTGAAGCACTTTGACCTTCTTTGCTTTCAGGAACATTGATGTGGAGGCTGAAGTATGAGAAGGAGCGCTATCCTGCTTAAGAATTTGCCCTCTCCTGTGGTTTGTAATGTAATGGGCAGCACAAATGTCTTGATACCTCAGGCTGTTGATGTTGCCATCCAGTCTGCAGATCTCTCATTTTGAATGTAACCCCAAACCATGATTTTTCCTTCACCAAACTTGACTGATTTCTGTGAGAATCTTGGGTCCATGCGGGTTCCAATAGGTCCTCTACAGTATTTGTGATGATTGGGATACAGTTCAACAGATGATTCGTCAGAAAAATCGACCTTCTGCCACTTTTACAATTGATCAACTTGAAATCGAGTTATTATTTGTTGCTCTTACAACTGAGATTGACGACAAGATCTTTGTCAGGTAGTACAATATAATGTACTTGGATTTAAGTAATATTGAAAATGACTACATTTAGTAAGTACATAATAAGTAATGTGCATTTGTATAGCACATTTATTGTGTATTGCCATACACCCAAAGCACTTTACAATCCTATGAAGGTATTTACTGTAATATTTTTTTTCTACTAGAGCAGGGGTGTCAAACTCAATTCCTGGAGGGCCGAAGACCTGCACAGTTTAGTTCCAACCCTGCTCCAACACACCTACCTATAGGTTTCAAACAAGCCTGAAGGACTCAATTAGTTTGATCAGGTGTGTTTAATTAGGGTTGGAAGTAAACTGTGCAGAGCTGCGGCCCTTTTGGAACTGAGTTTGACACCTGTGTACTAGAGTATCTGTACTTTTACTCAAGTACTTTGATTCGAAGTATCCCTTCCGAACAAAAGTATTATCTGGTAATGTTGTCTCTAATGTTTATGTTATTAGGACACACACCTTGGACCACTCTCCACCTTCCAGACGAGGCAGCAGACAGTCAGCATTGGTGCAAATCCTGTGGACGTCAGGTTTGGGTCCGCTGCAGTCCTCATCCCTCAATCTGCGGTAGCTTCCAGTAGCCAGTCTCTGTTTACAGTAAACCTTCCGCCATTGGGAGCCTCTGCCGCACGAATGAGAGCACTGACCCACAGACAAAATATAAACACCATAAACACCAACAAACCAACAACATCCACATAATGCATGACGCAACCGCTGAGAGAACAGCATGTGCGCAAATATAGTCACACACCAGGCGACGTGCAGATGTTGTTTACAGCAGAAAAGCCAAATAAGCATCCAAAGTCGGCCCTAAAAATGATTTTGCATCTTGTTTCATAATAAAATGCTCTGAAAAACACATGCTCGGTGAGAATAATATGCCCTTCAAAGTGTTTATGCGAATGTCTGGAATTAAATATGGCTTTTTATCTTCCTTGTAGGCAAAAAGTCTCACTAATTAATGTCATTGCTTTCCATGATATTACAGCTTTTTATTTATTTTCTGCGGGAAACGTGGAATGTGGTTCCTTTTAACAACTGTCAGCTTAATTCCACATTAAATATGCATAACTCAGGCAATATTAAAGACATTGAGATGACATTTAGACCGGATATCCTTTATATTACAGTCATTTTAAACAGTAAATGGTAAATCTTAATTCAAAGCTATTATTACTAATATTAATTAACAATATAAAAAAATACTTGGATAAATAAAATACAAATATAATATTTATAATTTAAATCCATGTAGTATAAAATAAATTATTAGCCACAAAAGAGACTTTTAACTCATTTTTGGCACTAATTTTTAAGCTTTATTGCATTGTAAATTAATAAATAATTGTTTGCAACCTCACTGATTTCTTATGTTTTGGGTGTTTGTCACACGTTAATGTTTCAGATCACTAAACAAATGTAAATATTAGTCAAATATAACACAAACAATCACATCATGCAGCTTTGAAATGAAAGTTTTTAATATTAAGGAAAAACAAAATACAAAACTGCATAGTCCTGTGTGAAAAAGTGTTTGCTCCCATAATAACTTGAGTCTGTTACAGTGCTGTCAATTAATTTTGGGCAAATAATCTTTGCAGAATTGCTGTAATTCAGCCACATTGGATGGTTTTCGAGCATGAACCGCCTTTTTAAGGTCAAGCCACAGAATCTAAATTAGATTTGATTTAGGACTTTGACTAGGCCACTCCAAAGTCTTCATTTTCAGAAGTGGATCTGCTTTGGATTACTGTCCTGCAGCAGAACCCAAGTTTGCCTGAGCTTTTTAGTTTCCACCTAAAAATAAAAAAACTGCAATTTGTATTTACTTGTGGTATTTTTGACTAATATTTGAATTTGTTTCAATGACCTGACGTATTAAAGAGTGACAAACATGTAGAAAACATGAAAAATAATTATAAAAAACAATAAGGGGGCAAACACTTTTACACACCAGTTTGGGTCTCCGAGCAGTTTAGCTACAGTATGAAGCAAAAGTTACCAAGACCTCAAAATACACATGACCTTACTTGTTTAAAACCCCAAATCGGCTTTGCGTGATAGGCTTCTAGTTTTGGCAGTGTTTGTGTATAAGTAAGAAATTAATACATGTAATCAGAAAGATATCATCCTTGTAATTTGAAGCAAATTAATAATATAATTTTGCTCAGATAAACTACTGTTGTGTTGCCAAAATGCACTGAAAAAAAAAGATTTTCGCTGCTTGCTCAAGCTAATTATTTAAAATGAGTTGAAACACATGAGCTGAAACTAAAATATATATTTTAATTTTAGGTTTAATTCATGTAATATAAAATAAATTATTAGCCACAAAAGAGAATTTTGACTAATTTTGGCTTTCATTTTTAAGCTTTATTGAATTGTGTATATATAGAAATAAGTGTTTGCCCACTTACTGATTTCTTATTTTTTGGGTGTTTGTCACACATTATAGTTTTAGATCATCAAACAAACGTAAATATTAGAGAAAGATAACACAAAAAAACTTTTTGAAATGAACGTTTTTATGATTAAAGAAAAACAAAATTAAAATAGCCCTGTGTGGAAAAAGTGTTTGCTCCCTTGATAACTTGCAATGAGTCTATTAGATTTTGGACAACTCATCTTTGCAGAATTGCTGTAATTCAGCCACATTGGAGGTTTTCGAGCATGAAGGCTTTTTAAGGTCATGCCACAAAATCTCAGTTGGATTTGGGTCAGGACTTTGACTAGGCCACTCCAAAGACTTCATTTAGTTTTTCTTCAATCATTTAGAAGTGGACTTTTTTTTTGTTGTTTTTTTTTTGTTTTTTTTTACAAAGGGCTATGAGGTTTTGTAATTTGTTTCCACCTAATAATAAAAATCTGCATGATGCGTTTACTTGTGTTATCTTGGACTAATATTTGAATTACTTTGATAATCGGAAATATTCAAGTGTGACAAACATGCTAAAAAATAAGAAATTAGTGAGGGAGCAAACATTTATTCACTTCACTGTATATGTCACTTTTCTTACAGCTGATTTTTCCAGTTTGGGTTTCTGAGCAGTTAAGCTACATTAGTATAAAGCACAAGTTGCCATAGTAACAAAACCCAATCAAAGCTAAAACTAAACATGAACTTGTTTAAAAACCCAAACCAGCTTGGCACGACAGGCCTCTGGTTTTAGAAACGAATACATGTACTCTAAAAAAATATATCATCCTTGCAATTTGTAGCAAATTATTAATATAATCTAACTCAAATAAACTGTTGTTGTGTTGCCCAAATGCACTGACAAAAATATTTTAGCTGCTCGTTCAAACTACTTATTTAAAATCAGTTTAAAAAACATAATCCTTAGGATTTCCTGATGTTCTGCTGCTAATGCACAAAGACACTTTATGGATATTCATGTTTGCACTCATTTGCCTTAATGTAAATACTGTGACTTATTACATTTAGTATATTTTATCTTACATCTTATATTTTAGTATTATTTCTATTGCTTGTTTTATGTGACTTATTACATTTAGTATATTTTATCTTGCATCTTATATTTTAGTATTATGTCTATTGTTTGTTTTTTCTCTTTTTATATTGCTGCTGGTCTCTGTGAGTTACCAAACAAATTTCGTTGTATAACTACAATGACAATAAAAGTTCTTTTACTTTACTTCTTTACTTCATTTTGGGGGGACAATACAATTGTTTCTCTTCAATTTACTTAAATTTGTAAAAACGATGAAGTTAACTTAATTGATTTGTGTTAAGACAACATGAAGGAACTGTGTGTGTGAATAGTTTTGAGAAATTGGTCCTAGCAACAGCAAAGTAAGCTGTAAAGAGATTTATTTGCCTTGTTTTCTATTTAAAATGACAAAAATCACAAACCTGCTGCCATTCCTCAGCCTCCCAGGACGGTGGACAAGCCACCTGGTTGCAGGCCTGTAGTTCATTGGGTCTTTTCTCCACGCAGTCTTTGCTGGACAGTGATTCGGTACGGTTTCCAGCCACAGATCTGACACAGGACACACTCCTCGTCTGAAGCCCCACACCACACGACACTGAACACAGGTTCCACACACTCACCTCCCATCTGACAAACACACAAACAAAAACCACCAGAAATGAAAGGGACATACAGTACACAATGTTTGATTTATATATTTTTTCTTCGATCTGAAATTGAATGGACCATAAAAAGTGTCACGTTCGGTGAGGGGAAAAAGGAGCGAGGACTCAGGTGCAGCAAATAATGGGTGTTTATTAAGAATAAAATAAAAACAAAAAGGCAAAACAAACAACCCCGAGGGGGAAAACTCTAATAAAACAAATAAACGAACAAACAAACTTGACTAGACTGGCAGGACAAGACAGGGCTGGACACAAGACAGGAAACAATCGACGACGAACTGGCAAAGGACTGAAAACATGAGGGGGATTATAAGCAAAAAGTAAATTGACACACAGGTGAACACAATTAACTAATGATGGGTTAACAAGGAGGGTGGGACTAGACAATAGACGGGAGAGCGCATGACACAGAGAGACAATACAAGCCATGCGCTCACATAACACAACACTAAAGCACACGACAAAAGCACGTGACCACAATGTAAACACCGAGCCACGTGCTTTGACAAAAGACGCAAGACACGAGCACACGATAGATAAACACCTTACCGTGCGCTCACACATAAGCAACGCGCATGCTTCATCTCAGCGCCAACCAAAACTGAAACCAACTAGACGGAGGCGCCGAGAATAAAGCAGCGCGCTGCTGACAGAACAAACACAAAAACTAGTACAAGAGCGCGCGCGTCTGAGGGACGCAGAGCGTGCGCGGCCACATCAAGTGGCAGCGCGCACACTCTGCGTACACCCACGACGGCGCGCGCGCGCACACAGAGACAGAAACAGGACCAGACATTGAGTAGTGTCAGAGCTCTGCCACCAAAACAAGAATTTACAAGACCAAAGTGGCAGAACCCTGACACTAGCCCCCCCCAAAAGGGACGCCACCTGGCATCCCTAAAGGGAACATCCATCAAGGTACAAGACAGACAAGAAACACAAGATAACAAAACAGGCAACATCAACAGACACAAGACAGGGAGGTGAACAGGCAAGACGACATGAAGGGGGGGAGGGAGGGAAGCCAAGCCGGACTCAACAAGACAAACAAGGGAGGGATGGGAGGGCAAGACCAGGGAGGATCAGGAGGGACAGTCCAGGGTGGATTCAGTGGGTCGGGGGCCCCAGCAGGGAGCCAGGGTGGAGCCGGAGGGTCAGTCCAGGGTGGAGGGGAGGAACACCAGGGAGGAGCAGGAGGGACGACCCAGGGAGAGTCTATCAGGGGAGACAAGGCAGGAGGTCGGTGGGGAGCCGGCTGGGCTGGAGGCCTGTGGGTAGCCGGCTGGGCTAGAAGCGGCTGGGCTGAAGCCGGCAGGGCTGGAGACCAGAGGGGAGCCGGCAGGGCAGGGAGCTGGGCTGGTGCCGGCAGGGCTAGACGTCTGGTTGGCGCCGGCAGGGCAAGACGTCTGGGTGGTGCCGGCAGGGCAAGGGGCCGGGCTGGGGCCGGCTGGGCAAGACGTCTGGGTGGCGCCGGCAGGGCAAGACGTCTGGGTGGCGCCGGCAGGGCAAGGAGCTGGGCTGATGCCGGCAGGGCTAGACGTCTGGTTGGCGCTGGCAGGGAAAAGAGCCGGGCTGGGGCCGGCAGGGCTAGACATCTGGTAGGTGCCGGCAGGGCAAGGGGCCGGGCTGGGGCCGGCAGGGCAAGACGTCTGGTTGGGGCCGGCAGGGAAAAGAGCCGGGCTGGGGCCGGCAGGGCTAGACATCTGGTAGGTGCCGGCAGGGCAAGGGGCCGGGCTGGGGCCGGCAGGGCTAGACATCTGGTAGGTGCCGGCAGGGCAAGGGGCCGGCTGGGCAAGGAGCCAGGCTGGGGCCGGCAGGGCTAGACATCTGGGTGGTGCCGGCAGGGCTTGACATCTGGGTGGTGCCGGCAGGGCAAGGAGCCGGGCTGGGGCTGGCAGGGCAAGGAGCCGGGCTGGGGCCGGCAGGGCAAGGAGCCGGGCTGGGGCCGGCAGGGCAAGGAGCCGGGCTGGGGCCGGCACTGAGCTGCGCTCTGGGGCTGGAGCCGACACTGGAGGGCGCTCTGGGGCTGGAGCCGACACTGGAGGGCGCTCTGGGGCTGGAGGCGACACTGGAGGGCGCTCTGGGGCTGGAGCCGACACTGGAGGGCGCTCTGGGGCTGGAGCCGACACTGGAGGGCGCTCAGGGGCTGGAGCCGACACTGGAGGGCGCTCAGGGGCTGGAGCCGACACTGGAGGGCGCTCAGGGGCTGGAGCCGACACTGGAGGGCACTCAGGGGCTGGAGCCGACACTGAAGGGCGCTCAGGGGCTGGAGCCGACACTGAAGGGCGCTCAGGGGCTGGAGCCGACACTGGAGGGCACTCAGGGGCTGGAGCCGACACTGGAGGGCGCTCAGGGGCTGGAGCCGACACTGGAGGGCGCTCAGGGGCTGGAGCCGACACTGGAGGGCGCTCAGGGGCTGGAGCCGACACTGGAAGGCGCTCAGGGGCTGGAGCCGACACCGGAGGGCGCTCTGGGGCTGGAGCCGACACCGGAGGGCGCTCTGGGGCTGGAGCCGACACCGGAGGGCGCTCTGGGGCTGGAGCCGACACCGGAGGGTGCTCTGGGGCTGGAGCCGACACCGGAGGGCGCTCTGGGGCTGGAGCCGACACCGGAGGGCGCTCTGGGGCTGGAGCCGACACCGGAGGGCGCTCTGGGGCTGGAGCCGACACTGGAGGGCGCTCTGGGGCTGGAGCCGACACTGGAGGGCGCTCTGGGGCTGGAGCCGGTATGGTGGAAGAGCCCCTTCTCCTCCTACGCTTCCTTATTTTTGGTGGCGGGAAGCTGGCCACCTCTTCAGACACTGCTGGGCACTCCACTACCTCTGAAAGTGTTGCAGTGTCTGTTTCGGGCACCTCGAGGGATGATGCTGCCGCCAGGGTGGTTGCTGGATGGGCTGCAGTGGTTTCAGTCACCTCTAGGTGGGTGACAGGTGAGGAGGGCCCGTTCTTCCTCCTCCGTCTCCGTTGGTGGGTCATCGGAGGACTGGGGATTTGGCAGTCTGTGAGCGGGATGGGCGGTGGACCAAGGGGAGGCAGGCCACCGTCTCCCTGGCTGTGGTACAAATAGCTCACAAACTGCCAGAATGACAGTATTCCCAGCATCCCCATCTCCCAGGCCTGAAGGGGGCTGTTAAGTCCAGCATTGAAAGCCTCCTTCAGTGCTGTGGTGGTAAACTCAAGCCCCTCTGCTGCGTAGACAAACTGGTAGGCAAACTCCTTGACTGAAGATTCCCCTTGATGAAGACCAAAGAGTTTGCCCAAACGTTCCTTCTGCTGGCATGCAGAGGGACGTGAACTGGGAGATGGGAAAAGGAAGATACCCATATTTCTGCTGAGTCCTCTGTTTTGGCCAGTTCGTACTGTCACGTTCGGTGAGGGGAAAAAGGAGCGAGGACTCAGGTGCAGCAAATAATGGGTGTTTATTAAGAATAAAATAAAAACAAAAAGGCAAAACAAACAACCCCGAGGGGGAAAACTCTAATAAAACAAATAAACGAACAAACAAACTTGACTAGACTGGCAGGACAAGACAGGGCTGGACACAAGACAGGAAACAATCGACGACGAACTGGCAAAGGACTGAAAACATGAGGGGGATTATAAGCAAAAAGTAAATTGACACACAGGTGAACACAATTAACTAATGATGGGTTAACAAGGAGGGTGGGACTAGACAATAGACGGGAGAGCGCATGACACAGAGAGACAATACAAGCCATGCGCTCACATAACACAACACTAAAGCACACGACAAAAGCACGTGACCACAATGTAAACACCGAGCCACGTGCTTTGACAAAAGACGCAAGACACGAGCACACGATAGATAAACACCTTACCGTGCGCTCACACATAAGCAACGCGCATGCTTCATCTCAGCGCCAACCAAAACTGAAACCAACTAGACGGTGGCGCCGGGAATAAAGCAGCGCGCTGCTAACAGAACAAACACAAACACTAGTACAAGAGCGCGCGCGTCTGAGGGACGCAGAGTGTGCGCGGCCACATCAAGTGGCAGCGCGCACACTCTGCGTACACCCACGACGGCGCACGCGCGCACACAGAGACAGAAACAGGACCAGACATTGAGTAGTGTCAGAGTTCTGCCACCAAAACAAGAATTTACAAGACCAAAGTGGCAGAACCCTGACAAAAAGTGGGCTTTATCATACATCAGTGGGGTCAGGCTTAAATTTAAGGTTGCTTTCACACCTAGACGTTTGTTTCGGAAGCTGGCACATTTGCCCTATTAGCTTGGTTCGTTTGGCCATTTGTGAACACCACAATCGTGCTCGGATCCGTGTCAAAACAATCGGTCTAAGACCCCCTGAATGAGCGGATCGATTGAGAGAGCAATACGATCCAACCCAGCACGCACAGGTCAACGTAATGTCAGATTGGCACTGCACCCCTACTTGTGGGGACATTGGATTTTTTTTGGAAATGAAACTTAGGTTGACGTAAGAACCCAACATCAGGCCGACGTTATTGTTCAATGTCCGACCTAAAATCAACCCTATATCAATGTCTAATTGTGTTACAGCTTGACGTTTTGTGGACATTGCCACTATATTTATCAGATGAGTTTTGGTTGCCATACCTGACAAATAAATGCAAATAAATGTATGACGTTGGTTTAAGATGTTGGCTCGTTGTTGGATTTTGGTCACTTACCAACACAACCTAAAATCAACTAAATAAAATAATAATAATAATAATAATAATTCCTTACATTTATATAGCGCTTTTCTGGGCACTCAAAGCGCTTTACACAATGGGGGGGGGGGGGGTCTCCTCATCCACCACCAGTGTGCAGCATCCACCTGGATGACGCGACGGCAGCCATTTTGCGCCAGACCGCACACCACACACCAGCTGATTGGTGGAGAGAAGACAGTGATGCAGCCAATTGAATATGGGGGTGGTTAGGAGGCCATGATGGACAAAGGGCAGTGGGCAGATT